GTTACTAGTAGCGATGCACTTGTTACTAGTAGCGATGCTCTTGTTACCTGTTACTAGTAGCGATGCACTTGCTACTAGTAGCGATGCTCTTGTTACTTGTTACTAGTAGCGTTGGACTTGCTACTAGTAGCGATGCATGTGCTACTAGTAGCGATGCACTTGCTACTAGTAGCTTCTAGTATAGGCTTACAGGCTGATTTTGTATCAATTTATTTGCACTGCTGCTCATCTTAGTTGACGAGATCATGAAACATGCGATCTGCCCTGTGGGTCGGGACAAGAGGTATCGGCAACTGAACTATTTTGGTCTCTTTCAGTTGTGCATCTTTTGAGGTGCTGAGCAATTGTGTAATCAGTAGATGTTGTGATCAGTCGTATGGTTGAGAATCTAAGTTAAAGCAATCATGTAAACGCATTCCACACCAACACGGAACAGGGCGACTGCCAATAATATGGTTTAGTTTATCAATCAACATAAAGGTACGAGAGCAATGCCATTGTCTGTCACCTCGAAAAACGCAGTTCGCTAAGCTAATATTTATTTTGCCAACGCTTGTTATTGCATTTCTTTCCCAAGCCATTGCACTCCCCACCTGATAAGACTTCTTCTTCGAACCTCAATCTCGGAGTCGGACAAAACGTTGTTTGTTGCTCCACAAAATATGGCCCTAGCCCCTAGGGGACAGTTGTACTCACATACAGTATCGTATGTTTGTTTTGTATTCGCATCGAAGTCATAATTAAGTGAGACATCAGGGTCTTGGTCCAGGTCTGTACCACGGAATGGACATGTATGGACTGTTGGAAAGAGTTTCAAAAAAAAATAAAGTAAAAAAATCGAACCTCCTCTTTCACATCATTGCCGTTGAGAGCACATGCTTTCTCAATTCCACGTGTCTCCTTCTGGTAGACATCGTGTCACGAACTCACTCTCAACTCAGGCAATTGGCCCGTTGCCTAGCCCACATTCTACTGGAAACAAACACGTACGGCAGGGGGGGGAATGTGCTCTGGACAACTCAAACAGCCAACCCGGCAGCCCCAAAGCTGGCCCTGCCTCCCAGGCTTGTGCCAAAGGAAGGCTGACAGTCGACAGCCTGTGTCTCCTGACTGCACGCAACCACCCTGATTGCTCGACCAGCGGCGATGTATTTGAGCACATGGTAGAAATGATCCAGGCATTGAGTCATTGAGGAAACCCTAATTCGCCCACTCAAAAAAACCAAATCATCAGTGCGAGCGCTTCTTCAAGGAAGCTCCCGGAAAGCTTCCTGAAGAAGCAGGAGCTATCCTGCGTCCAGTTAGTAGTAGTAGCTTAAGCAGCTAGGAGAGAACTTTGTCTCTTACTTGAGAACTGTAAGTAGGCACTTACTTAATATTAAGTATGAGCGGGCTAGGCTACAAATCCTTTGATCCGTGAAACCACCAATCAAGCAGGTTGTTGCAGGAGTCTTGTCCAATCCCTCTTGCTGTTTGGTCACAATGGAGGTGACACGTTGTAAGGTACCTTCAACTTGGTTAGAAAAGGGATGAAAACGGATACACAACAACGAATTTGGGAAGACTTGGGCATGGAAGTTGATGAACGCGACAAAGGTTATCATCAAAAGAACGGGCCTCTTATGACCTCTGATGTGATCTTTTTGCCCAAGTACAAGTGGAATCCCTCTAGCCTCACCACAAAGACTTCAGCAGACCTGATTGCAGCTGGTTGCTGTGAGTGTAGCCGCCGAAGCATCTCCACCTGGCCCGAAGAACCAAACATGCTATCACACAATCAAACTACAATGGTTTATACCGCTCCTGACATTGCATCACACCCCGTCGTGAAAAATCCAATAGTAGTGAAACCCTAACCCGCCTTGCAACATTCAACATTCAACTTTGTGGTGCGTAAATTGGCGCACATGTTGAATTCCCTTTGATAGTTGCGCCGTGCGATTGTCTCTCTAGTTTGTTGTGCAAGCGAGCTACGACACGAGACTGATGTGAATGTGAAACTACAGTATATGTTTGCTTATATAGTGTCCAAACATGTCCAAATCACATTGTCTCATTATGTGTATGTTCTGCAAATACCAAGGGAAACATTGCAAAATACTATAATTTCCATATTCTGGCTGGCTCGTTGCCTCATTGGTAGAACCAGTATCTTAAAGTAGCTAAGTAGCACCTTGCCTTGTTCAGTGTCTTTAAATCGCTGCTCGCCCAGCTTCAGGCCAGAGGCCTATTTCGATGAAATAATTATGTTGGTACCTGGTATGCAACTGGAAGCTTTTCTGGCTCGGGATGCCTGCAGCTGTGCCTGCTTTTGTGTCTCGAAGTGCACGTGGCTTGCAAACTTTAAGCGGGGACTGTGGCCACTGGCCAGAACCGGCGTACTCCACTGAAACGTTGTTTCTGGTGCTTGGAGGGCTGAGGCCAGGCCACGGGCCTGAAAAATTATTGCCTACTTCGATGAAATAGCTGGTTTCTCCACCTGGCCACAAACCAGAACAAACCTACTGATGGAGCACCGAATCAAGGGTCTTTTTTCACTCGCTAGTTTGGAGATCAATACCTTGTCCTGGTCATGCCCAAACAGACTCTTCACCATTGCTTTCAAAAGGCACCTCACTATTTCAAGATAAACACCTCCTTGTCGTCTCACTATTCAACACAATTCTTCAGCTTAAAAAATAGTCTGTCCAAATATATACATACAAAAATTACAATAAAATACACTTCGCCATACTTGCCTGCTGTGCACTGTGCACTGACTCAGGTGTTTTGGTGCACACACCGCGCGCACCTTTTCTTCCTCCCTTGGCGCCGCGCCTTTCTCAACTCTTCCTGGACCTTGAGACGCTCTTCCCGCAGCTCTTTCAACTGCCGTGGGTTACACTTGAGCAGTGGCAAGCTGAATCCGGGAAGAACTGGGCAAACCCTATTGCAAATTACTCATGTTCCTCGGTCTTGAGCTACATCTTAGTGTCTGTCAGCACGACTTGTTGGAAGGATTTGCTGGTATTCTACAAGGTTTCTACATTTTAAACAAAGAAAAAAGGAAAGATCGCCTTTGGGCACCACTTTGTTGAAGCAGTGATTGTTGTAAAATGCCAACTGGTTTTGTAGCAGCGTTGGTTTCGATCTGATTTTTAAGTTGGTTTCAAGGAAAGCAGTTCAAGTTTCAGAGCAAGCAACATCAGGAAAATATTCAGCAGCCATAGTCATTGATGGTTTTTGAAAAATATGTCTATATAGTAAGCCGTAAAATATTTATATATGTTTTACATTGAACAATGTGAAACGCATGTTTTCTCAAACAGCAACGGTAATGTGTTTGCTTATCGCTAAATTGAACAAACACACTGTTCAAACCTCCTTATAAATTACTGCATATATTTATATATCATGTTTTTTGCAAGACATCGTGAAGGAATTTTTAGCCACAGGTTCGAAAAATATGACAATGTTGGACCGATCATATTTGAAGAAAGTTCCTTCGGTATGGGACCTATATAGGACTTAGAGGTATTTAATATTTGCAATTTCAAAACTCAAAATATTACCTGAGAAGGGGGGGGGCGAAAGCCAGCAGCCGCCAGACGAGTGTATCTATTTCTGGTGGGCGTCGCGGCACAAGACACATGGTCGGCAGCTTGCGAGTCAGCGGTGCCGCGGACGCGGGGGGGGCGTATGTAATGGTGATTGAGGGGGCAGAGAAGCAAGCCGGGCGGCTGTGGGATAAGTTTGGTAATTATGAAAGAAGTAGTGAAAGAGAAATGCGATACGTTGTAAGTTGGAGTGTAGGTCATCATCACTTACAAGGCAATATGCATCTTATGGAAGTTGGAAGGCGACATCAGCGTTAGGGCCTTACTACTAGGAGCAAGGACGCTACTAGGGGCTCCGGGCCTTACTACAAGGGGCAGGCCTTACTACCAGGAGCAAGGACGCTACTAGGGGCTCCTGGCCTTATTACTGGGCCAATGCTGCTCCACGCTTCGCGGTATTGAATTAATTGTGGTATTTCAGGAGCATAGTTTCTCAAGTAAGCAGTGAGGAGCAGAAGGCCTTTGCCTCCTCCAAGGCCCGCAATCAGTGCTTCTTAGCAAGGTTCAAACCTTTTGTTTGTTTCGAGGCTACATGTCAATTTTGCTCTCAAAACATCTAACAACGCATCGCTAAACAACACAAATGCGTCAAGCTCCCAGGGTTGCAAATCCATTCACTCGTCAATTTAGCAGATTAGTTTACATGTCCCAAAAGCATCATCCACAGTTACGCCGTGAGAGTCCCGATCATGGTGCTCCTAGTAGTAAGGCCAGGAGCGATGCCAGGAGCCCCTAGTAGCATCCTTGCTCCTATAGCTCCTTGTTACTAGTAGCGTCCTTGCTCCTAGTAGCGATGCCAGGAGCCCCGTAGCGTCCTTGCTCCTAGTAGTGAGGCCAGCCCCTAGTAGTCTTGTTACTAGTAGCGTCCTTGCTCCTAGTAGGAAGGCCAGGAGACCCTAGTAGCTTCTTGCTACGAGTAGCGTCCTTGCTCCTAGTAGCCATGCCAGGAGCCCCCAGCAGCGTCCTTGCTACTAGTATTGAGGCCAGGAGTAGCTTCTTGTTACTAGTAGCGTCCTTGCTCCTAGTAGCGATGCC